GCACTCCTGTGCTTGTAGAAGCAATTCCTAGATATGTAGTTTGCAAAATAATTCGGGGTCTCCTTTAGCACAAAAAGCACTATACCAGTAAAGACTCTTAAATCTCTGCCCGAGCCATGATAACAGGGTAAACTTCCTGCCCAGGCACTGGAAAAGGCAATTTCTACTTATCACTGATGACTCAAAAAGTGGTGCATGGAATAATAGGAGTGTTTCAGCATGTGAACAGTTGAGACTGTGTGGTGTGGTTCACTGCCAGAGGTAGGCTTAAGTCCATAAGTAGTACCCTTCTGTAAAGCGTGGTAGAAAGCCTGCCTTGCTGCCTTTTGGAAAACTTTGCGGCTTCAGCACATCCCACAAAGGGCCAGTTAAATCACGTAACTCCACAGTGTGGGAAGCTAATTTTGGGGTGAAGATGCATGTTACCCGTAGACCATACTCGGGGTACTTAAAATGCAAACATCTGCACATTTAAAGCTTGTCAACTCATGTTAAGTGCCCTCTCAGAGTTATACCACTTCAGGCAAGGGATAACTCCAGGCCATGCTACCCAGCTTGTGTTAGGGGGACTTGAGTAGGCTCCATAGACCTAAAATGAACCATTTGTGGTCCTCTAGCATCCCAAGATGCCCCTCGGAGCAGGGATAGAGCCCACCTCGCTGCACAGCAGCTCTCCAGCCCTTTAGTGGCAAGTCTGAACCGTGCAGACAAGAACTAGTATAAATCCTTAGTGTGCGACTGCTCACAGCATGCTTTCAGTGTAACTCCGCTTAATGTGCTGCCGATTTAGTACGGTTTAAGTGCAATGTGTAACTTCACCATTACCATTAACCTCTCTGGGCCAGATTCTTTGGAAAGCAGGATGCCCCCAGCTACAAATGAAATCAGTGAGAGCTGGGCATTGGATCTTGGCAAGGGAACAGTTGAACATTTGGCAAAAAGCTTGGTTTTAACACTAAAGAGGTCACAGCTCTTAACACGGCCAAACTTTCTCAACTGCGAGTTTCAATCAGGTAAACCAAAAAACTCAGTTAATGACTCTCCTGGCATGGGGAGCATGGAGGAGGGGCTTCCATTGCATTTTGCATGAAAAATATATTGTGGAAAAATCAAGTTGCAATATTTTGAGTGGCTTTTCCCAGTGCTGCTTTGAATTGGGCCAGCGACTCATTCCAGTGTTGAGTCCATTATGTAGTGATGGAGAGTAGTCACAACCTCCTGGAGCACAGTGGCATTTATCGTGCATACAGGGGTGGGATTTTGGTTCAATGGAATTGGGCTACAGGCTGTGTGTTAAGGTTGAAAGTATGCTACCTGGCTTAACCCTTGCAGGAGCCCTTAGCTTGTAGCAGACTGCCGAATCAAGTAAACCCAAAAGACCAGCCCCGCCCCCCCACAAAAACCCCCCAAAACAACACACCCCAAAACCAAGTTTCTTTGTCAGTCAAACAACAGTCCAGCTACCAAAATAAAGCCAGTGTGACAGTGTTTGTTCACTGAGCTATAGTCGCTACCAGCCCAGCCTCTGGCTTCTTTACTATTCATTCCATCCAGGAAGAGCGCACACCAATTGCAGAGACTTCCTCAGCCTGGCAAAGGGTTTTTAAACCCAAAAGCTTGCTAAAAATTTTTTTGCCCAATTATTTAAGTTGGTCTAATAAAAGATATCAGACTGACCCAAAGAACCTTGTCTGCTGTTTGCAAAGCACTTTCAGGCTCGCAGCACAATTTAAGGTAGATAAGGGTCATTTCACTTGCTTTAAAAGGCAGTCATCTCTTAGGTAAGAGGGCACAGCAATGCTACCCTAATGGCTTAGGATGGGGGCGGGCAATTATTTTGGGCAGAGGGTCGTATGACAGGCAGCCAGGAGCAGATCAATGTTAAATTTTCTAAATTTTTAAGGGCCCCGCAGGCCGGTTAGAATGGGCTGGTGGGCTGCATCTGGCTGCATTTTGCCCACCCCTGGTTTAGGACCAATGTATCCAGAAGAGACTACGGGTGTAACAGAGGCGGGGAAGAAAGTGATTGTATTGTAATATGGCCAGAAGACAGGCTACCAGCTGCTGATGTCTCACCGTGTGCTCTGGGACTCTGAACGAGTATGAGCTGTTGGCTCCTATTCTCCTCTTAAAAAAGAAGTGCTACTCTACCTCGCTCCATGCATGGGCCATCTCTGGAGCCGGTCACTGCTGGGCCAGCCTGTGGCCGGGTTATATCTTCCCTGGCACCGTGAGTCACGTGTTTGAGAACAGCAAGTGCACAACACTACCTTTCAGGTGAGGGAGCATTTTGTACCAGCAGCAGCTTTACATGGGGCTAAATGAGGCCACCAGCAGCAAGCAAGAGGCTAGTGGGCTCTGCAGATAAGCAGCTTCTATGAGGTTAAAGCCTGACCCTGCTTAGCTTCCAAAACCCAACCACCTGGTGCCTATCAAGAGATGCCCTACTTACTTGGCCCCTCTCACCCCTGCTGGTATCTCCTCTTGCAAGCTGTTTACCCTCTGCTCTTGTAGTCATATTCAGAGGTTTTCCCATTATCCACCATGCCCACAGGAGCCAGTGGGCACTGTGAATGCTCAGCACCCAAAGAAAATTCAACCCCACAGGTGGCCATGCTGGTGTCAAGGTGACCTCTTCCTTCCCTGATGTTTTTGCAGGTGAAGAACATCTGTCCCCACTCAAATGCATATGGTTTTTCAAAGCTCTCACCAGGTAGCAAAACTCATTAGCACCTGGCTTGCCGGATCTTTTTGCACAAGTAGGACGTTCAAAGGTAACCAGTAATTGCTTAACCAGATGATAATGCACCTCTGAAAGCAAAGGGAGAAGTCCTTGAAATGTGTCTTGTGTCTGGAGAAATAACTGATCTTGGAAATTTTAATTTAGGTTCTGATCTCTCCTCTGTGCCTGCCTTGTGTTGCCTTTTTTTCCCTCTCCTTCTGCTGACCAACCTCCATGCCACAGGTTTTGCAGGGCGGTGGGGGAATGCAGGTCTGTCTGTGTTGTGGGGGGAAAGGTTGGCGATCCTCACACACACTCTCTCTCTGCAGGCCAGGAAGCTCAGACTGAATCCAGATTGGAGACGTCTTTGGAAGGCATCCAGATGACCGTCAGCGGGAGTGGGGAGGAGGGAGCCTGGCCTTGTCTGCTTCCTTGGTCACTTTGCTCCTGTTGTACTTTTGGTGGTGGCTGTGGTCCTGGCTACCTGGAGGTTAATGGCATTTGCACAGGCTGAGCAGAGCCAGTGATTGCAAAAGGTGCTGTCTTGCCATCTTCCTCGTCTCCTCCTAGGGGAGCTTGACCCTGGCACTCTCATTTTAAGGACTCTAGCCTAATAACAGCCTTGCCCAACTGCACCAGTCATTAAACTTGAGGGCTAGGAAAGTGGAGGTCAGCAGGCATCAGCAAGCAAGGTGTGTTGCATTAACTTTTTCCTCCACCCAACCTGAAGCATTCACTCTTCCTCTTCTGCGCTGCAGCCCTGCCAGTCTGTGACTGCACTGCTGCCCTGGTCCTGGGGTGTGCCCTGGTCTTGGAGATGTATGTCTTGGTCCTGGGGTATGTGCCCCATCCTTGGATATAGTTTCATAGTTTCATAGTTTCTAGGGTCGGAAGGGACCTGAGCAGATCATCTAGTCCGACCCCCTGCCATGGCAGGAAGAGCACTGGGGTCAAATGACCCCAATAAGGTGGTCATCCAACCTCCTCTTAAAAACCCCCAGGGTGGGAGCCTGCACCACCTCACTTGGAAGCTGGTTCCAGACCCTAGCCGCCCTGACTGTGAAGTAGCGCCTCCTGATGTCCAACTTAAACCTTCCCTCCGCCAGCTTGTGACCATTGTTCCTGGTCACTCCTTGCGGCGCTCGGGGGAACAGGGACTCCCCCAGCGCCTGCTGATCCCCCCCAAACAGTTTATAACAGGCCACAAGATCCCCCCTCAGCCTTCTCTTTTGAAGGCTGAACAGGTTCAGGTCCCGCAACCTTTCCTCATAGGACCTACCCTGCTGTCCCTTGATCATACGAGTGGCCCTCCTCTGGACCCTCTCCATGCTGTCCACATCCCTCTTAAAGTGCGGCGCCCAGAACTGGACGCAGTACTCCAGCTGCGGCCTGACCAGTGCCGCATAGAGGGGGAGGATCACCTCCTTGGACCTGCTCGAGATGCATCTGTGGATGCACGACAAGGTGCAGTTGGCCTTCCTAGCCGCCTCCCCACATTGCCGACTCATGTTCATCTTGGAGTCAATAATGACTCCCAGATCCTTTTCCACCTCTGTGCTGACAAGAGGGGAGTTCCCCAGCCTGTATGTGTGGTGCCGATTGTTCCTCCCCAGGTGCATCACCTTACACTTGTCTGTGTTAAACCCTATCCTGTTCTCCTCTTCCCATCCTTGTAATCTGTCTAGGTCCGACTGTAGCCTGTTGCTCCCCTCTATTGTGCCCACATCCCCCCACATCTTAGTGTCATCAGCAAACTTGAACAGGGTGCTTTGCACCCCCTCCTCCAAATCACTGATGGATATGTGCCAGTCTGCCTGCTCATTGCTTCTTGTAGCCTTCCCTGCAGTGCCAGTCCTCCAGCTTTTCTCCAGTAGCTTTGCCCATATACTTTATTCTTAGCCAGTGCCATAACTAGGGTAGGGTGAATAGTGAAACCACCCCACACACAGATTTGATGGGGGAGGGGGTGCAACCAGAAGCAGCCACTACCCCTGTGTCCTGGGCCCCCAACTACATCCCTATGCTGCTGGTCCTAGGTACAGGTACAGTGCTAGACCAGATACAAATTGCATGGTGGGAAAGAGCAAAGATTTAATGTAGCAGTGACTGCATTCTCCACTCATCGGGCCATAGAGAGCTCCGAGGACCGACGGTCCCAAACCCCGCATGCTTGGAAGGTCTGTGCAGGACATGAGCGGAGGCTGCTCTTTGCGGAGATGCATGCAGTGATCTTTGGAAACAGGAAAAAAATGCCAGAAAAAAAATGTAAGAAAAGCAATGCAAAAATTTATATTTTATTTTAATTCAAAAATTTAAAATAGCTTTCAAATTCCGTAAAGTATGCCCGGACACAATGAGGAGCCTCATATACAGAGACAGATAAATTAAATTGTATATACTGCAGACAAGCCGAGTGTATGTATAGATTACATATTTACAAGTTTTATGTAAACCATATTTATACATTTTATTACATTTACAAAAAAAAAAAAGCTGATCTTCCACTACTCTTTACTACAATAATGAAAAAAAAATTTACATTGTGTCTTTTTTATTATTTTTTTTTTTTTAACTGTACAAACTTTTGCTTCATAAAAATATATCTCTGTACAAAAGGTTGGGTTTTCTCTTTTCTAGTTTTTATTAATTTTTGTTCTTTTTTCTTTTTTTTTTTTTTCCCTCTCTTTTTTTTCTTTTTTAAACACAATGCAAGTTCGATGAGCACAAGAATGAGAAGTCGCGGCTTGTGACCTGGCCAGCTTGCAAAAAAAATGGGGCGATGCCACCCTTTTTCTGCTGTCCGAGCAACAAGGGAAAGTGGTATGTAATTGGTCGAAAGCAGCAAATGTTTAAATAAAGCCACGGTTCATTTTGCTTTGCAAGTAAAAGAAACTGGGTGCATTTTATACACCTCCACTCACGTAAACGCACAGTTTCTCTCTCTCTAACACACATGCGGACCTGGTGCTATTGCGTTAATTTGCATGAGATTCAGGAAGGTCGAAAAGTAGGATGTAGGATCCCTAATTATTTAACGAGTCGAGCTTTGCGTGTGCGTGCGGTGCTGCCCTCTGCTGGGTACAACCTGAACACTTGGGGGTGTCAAACTATTATTTGCAGCGGGCAAAGATCCTCTTTTAGCTCAAGTCGCAGTGGGGGCGAGACGCTGAGAAGAAAAGGAGCTGAGCTCCAGTCCTGTGAGGTTTTGAATAGCTGTGGCTTAACGGCACGTGTTAAGGCAAAGACGGCTGCCAGAACGGTATAGAGACTTGAGTGCAAAAGAGTACCACCTCGCTCTGTCCTAAATCTTCTTCCTAGCAGAGGAGTCCAGTCCTCCTGCTGTATTTGGGGACTCCAGGTGGGAACGGGAAGGCGGCTGGTGCAAGGAGGCAGGGCTCTCCTTTGGTCCCAGGAGAACTAGAAAGGGGCTGGAGACTGGGCTTCAAGCTTGAAGGCAGAAGCCAGTTGCCCATTTCCAGGCAAAGCAAAAATCCAGGCACCACCCCTGCTCTTGGTTGCATCTGTGCAAACTGGATACAACTCCCTGAACTTCACAGGAGTTGTTCCAGAGTGACAGGTAACTAGGAGGGAGGCAGCTGGCCCTGGGACTATGATGGGGAAGGGTGCAACACCTTGCTCATGTGCCAAGGGAGCCTTTTCTGATGTATTTTGTCAATACTGGCTTGCTCTGGGACCCAGATCCCCTCTGGCTCCAAGGGGAGAGGAACTTACCCTCACGCACTTCAAGCCATATGGAGAAGGGGAACTTCTCTCGCCCCCCGGCTAGACCTTGACAGTGACCCTGATGTGGCCTGGGCTGGTACTAGTGCCATGCTGCAGTCAGCAGGGTACCACCACCACAAATTTGGAAATGAGTATGGTGTGCGTGGTCCCTTCCTGCTAGCTGGAGGATGAAAGTCTTGGTTTTGTATACACACCTGCCTGCGCCCCTCAGCTCTGTCGGGATGCATCGTTTCTCATCTGGGGAGTGGATGTGGCATTTTTTAGCAGGCTGGCTGCGCAGCAAACAGGCTGTAGGACGCTGCTGAGTGTAAGACAGCTGTCTGAACAACAGATAGAAATCAAAATATGTACATCTACAGTCACAGGGAAAAGCAAAGGCAAAAGAATTAGCTCATAGTTGTAATTAGACAAAACTTAAGCCAATATGAGGCTGGGAAAAGCAGCCATCTGCAAACAAACCTGCAAATCACATGGTGGTTTTTTTGTTATGTGTTTTTCCTTTTCCAGTTTTTGTTTCCCCTTTAAATCTTAAGGAACAAAAAGCCGCTTCGTTCCACAAATACCGGTCGAAGCCTGCTGCATTTCGGATGCACCTGGCTCCTGACATGATACAACGGCACAGTTGCCTTCTCCTACTCCAGCCCTGTCTGCGAGTGAGCTGCTCAGAGCAAACAGAATTAAATCCTAAATCAACAAAGGAAGCTTTTCCCTTTATTAGAGCGGGTTAGTATCATCGCAAAGGCATCATTCTTTTAAGGGGACAAAAAATGTCAAGCGGCCTTATCTGCTCTCATTAAGGTGAAACCAACCTTTCAGCCCCCGGGAAATATAGTGAGCAGCTTGGTAGAAAAATTAAAACTTTTATTGCATTGCCATTTGGAGGATCAATATGGAAAGGGCAAAGGCTTTTTGAGCTCACTAGGGGGAAAATGATCGGTGTCGGAGGGGTTATTTCTAAAGACTTTTGCCTACTTTCCCCTCCCCGCCTGGCCTCCATATCTCCCTTCTTTCAGATGCTTGTGGAAGTTGCTGCCTGAGGTGAGCAATGGCCAGCTGCTGGGAGAGGGGGGCAGAGAGAGAGAAAGGCAGCCACCGGTTCAGAGACTGGTAACGTATTGGTCCCAAGATGACCTGTGAGCTTTCCAAGGAAAGGACGTTGAAATGAGTAAGTACAGCAGAAGAAAAGCAAGAGAGCTGCTGGGGGAAATAAAACAAACAGCACCTTTAAAGATTTCACTTCTCTCTAACAACCGAGCGAGGAAACAAACTGAAAATCTTGCCAACCATGCAACGAAAAATAAGACTTAAGCGAGCAGAGCTCCGCTGTTTCAGTTAAACCCCAGAGGCTTTTAGTTCAGTGCCACCCGCGTCGGCCCCTCTGCCTTCTGCGCTCATCCCCAAAGTGCTGGTTTGACACGAGCAGCCTGCGACACACCTGGCACTGCTCTCCGCTACGAAAGACCTCGTCAGGCTTTAACTGGAACAAGCAGCGGGTCAGAGATGGATTCAGGAGATCACCTTGCTCTGTAAAGGTCTGCAGCTGGGCAGCATCCGAGCAGCGAAAGAGAAGATCTTGAAGTCGGCCAGGAGCAGCTCAGCGGGCGAGAGGGTGGGAAAGGAAAGGCTCTCCCAAGCTGCGCTGGAGGAGACACTTTGGTTGGCTTGATTATCCGCTGCAAGATGTGGTGGGTGGGGAAGAAGGTGAAGGTGGATGGCAGCCCCATGGTCTCTCCCCAAAGTAACTCAGCAGTCCAACAAAGCAGCAAAATTCTCCACAGCCAGGGTTGGGAGAGGGGTGGTCATGGATGAAGACTAGCGAGGTGACACACAATCGTCAACAGGACACCTGCCCCTGGACAATTCTGGGACAGTTGGGGAGGGAAGGAGACAGACGGAGGAAAAGTTACTACACACGCACAAACCAGAGACCACTCCTTAGTCCAAGTCCACACAAGAAACCAGGAATGATAGGGATGTGAATTTTGCCCCTCCCTTTGGTCATCTCTTTTGGCCAACCCTGCTAGCACAGGCACAGTTTGCACTGGCAGGGGCCGGGAAGCAGTTTTGCTGGAATAGGTTATTTTGCACCGTGAACCACTCTGAACTGTACTGACAAAAATGCTGGGTTTTCTTCCCAGTACATTTTGCACTTGGAGGGTTATCTACTTCAGTACACGTTTCTAGTGTGGACTTGCCTCGGGGACTCCTGCGGTCTCCTTTACCAGAAATGCGAGTGCCTCGCACTCCTCAATGCACTCATCTTCCCCCACACTGCAGCAAGGCAAAGAAGAAAACGACTGTGCCCATTTTACAGAGCGGGAGCTGAGGCAATGGTGGGGGAAGTGACTTACAGACAGAGGAGACATCTGAAGAAGACCTCTGATCTCACCAGTGAGTTTTTCCTACCAGGCATCATGTCTCATTTAATTCAATGGAAGACACAAGTTTTGAGTTTTGGGCTCAGGGAGATTTTCCCATCGAGGGACTGGTCTCCCTGTGGGGGGACAGGACACGGAGGAATATAAGGATGAGGGGCAGCTTGTTACGGATATCAAAGTCTCAGTGTCTTATCTCCAGGGTGAGCACGGGTGTGGCAGACTGACCAGCAAGAAGTGCTGATTAAAAGTACCCGGCATCTTGGTGCTGGCATGGAAATGCTTTCACAGGCCAACTATAAATCTGTCCACAGAGGCCCTAGGGCCCACTGCCTCTTCCAATCCAGCTAGCAGGATGGGACTTCAATGAACTAAAAATGAGGCCCCCGGTGACTGCACTCATGCATCAGGCCAGGGACAGATGCGTCGAGTAGACTGTGGTCAACTCGAGAGACCCTATTTCTAAGAAGATCGGAGCTTTATTGGTTCTCGCCGTAGCCAGGTAGGGACCCCGAGCTGGAGAGAACAACAGATGGGTTTAGATGGCGCCCTGCTTTTCTCCAACTCACCGTGCGAAGGGACAGGTGCTATACCGCCGTGCACACGGTGCTGACTGTGAACTCTGCCTCGTTGGCCATGATGTCCGTGGGCTGCAGGTTCCGGTCGTACATGGGGTTTTCAAACGTCGCTCGGACGTTGGTGTTTTCATGGCCGGCATAGCCGTTGAATGGTACTTTGGGTCTTCTCCTGCAGGGTGCCACAAAAAGAAACCGGAGAGGTTTTCGGGACTCCTGTTGCAGCATACGTCAGGGGACAGTTTCACCCAGCTCTGAGGCTGAAGGGAACGGTATGGGAAGGTCTAACGAATTAGCTACAAGGAGGGATGGGTGCGCCGATGTGAGGCTGCCTTGTTGCATCAAGGTCCACCTTCTTGGTGGCTCCACAACAGCATTCAGCAGTGGAGGAAGGCAAACGATTTCAGAATATTTTGGCCCCAATGATCAGTGCAAATTAGTGCAATTCCCTTGATTTGCATTAAACGATGATCACTTCTAGCAGGTGAGGATCCTGCCTAGGATCACTAGCAGTAAGAGGAAACTGCAAAAGGTGTTGCACTCAGATTGGGAAGCAATCCTACTGCCCGCTTAGAAGTGAAACAAGGCCAAATTCACCTCCTTCCTCCCCACACCCCCTTCAAGCATTTTGTTCATTTTAAGGCACTGGGGCCACAGGAAATGGCACAGGATCAGAGACCAAAAAATGTGGCAGGATGAATTATGTTGCAGGACCTCAGAGCATGTTACGTAGGGGTCTAATCCTGAAAGGTGCCAAGCAACTGGCTTTTTGGGTAACTCAGCTGCTACTTTTAATTAGGCCATTCAGGCCAAATGTTCACAAGAAGCCAGGCCAGATTTTGACATGTTCGCTCAAAGGAGTGAATTACACACAGAGTTTGAACTGAACACGTTAGGGTGAACAGCACTAGAAGGAGGACATTCATTTTCCTCAGTCTGCGTGAAGCAGCTAACCATGATCCACTCACCAGCAAATTGGAAATCTCACCCTAAACTTAAAAGCACAAGGCATTTAGGGACATGAATCCAATTGACATTCTCAGATTGGTGCTCCGAAAACCCCATAGACACTTCTAAAAATCATCTTAACTTTCCCATGGATGCAGCATCCAGAGTTCTCAGCAGTATCCTTAGCATTTGTCACCCTGGCCCAGACCTTGTGGCCAACAGTGTCCTAACCCATGATGGTTGTGACCAATGTAGAAGACGTTTCAAAGCACAGTAACACTTTCCACCATAACACAGAAACCACAAGAAAAAAGTCTCTTTGCTATAGCTGCAGAATCAACTTAAACTCTGTAGCATGAGATTTGCTTTTCCTTATCGCACTTGGCATTGCTACAAATCTTATTAGCAGTCATAAAATTACCCAGACCTTTTAAAAAAAAAAAAAAAACCAACCCCGCTCCAGTATTTCCTTACCTTGCAAACCAAATCACAAAGCAGAACTATCAGGAAGTCTCTGAAGCCAAGCTTGCAAATATGAATATTTCCAACATGACCCAGCTTCTTTCAATCCCATTTTTTCCATACACTGCTCCTTGCAACCCAGCAATGACTGCATTATTATTTTTTTTTATATTGCCTCACTCCTGAAACCTACCTGTGTTTGTAGAGATAAAGCACAAACCCTGCAATAATCAGGGCTATGAAAGGCACAAGAATGGCGGCTGCCACGGAGCTGCTGTTTGATGCAAAATGATGCCCTATTGATTCCGGATCGTTTTCAATCATGCTGATGTCTGCAACGCAAGAGAAGTAAATAGGTTTAAACCACCGCTGCTAAGGTACGGGGCTTCCTCGGATTCATGTTACCTTCTTGGTGAGTGAACAGGTTAGCTACAAGACTCAGAGGACAGCAAAGGGGATCCTCCGATTCACATGCAGGCCAGACTGAAGATACAGCTGAGCAGGCTGCTGAGCCCAGGTCTCCTCATTTATTCAATGGTAAAAAAGAAGAGAAAGGGAAAAGAAACCCAGCAGAGATGCAAGTAGAAAAATTAGAAATATTAACACCCCAATGCTCAGGCTCTGAAGCTTTAAAGGTGGACCAAATGAGAGATTTTCCAAGGCAGGAGTGCCAGACACGATACTCCCAATCGAGGCCACAGGAGGTCTAGGGGTGAGGTTTTCAGAGACTTAAGGGAGACTTAAATGATATCTCATTTATGCTGCCACAACAGTTTTTATGGAGGCACAAATAGACACCCCTATTCTTTGTCATGCCACATCACAGGAAAATCAGTGGTTCAGCAAAAGGTAGTAACAGGCTTCGGGGTAGATGCCTGTTAGCTGTGTGATGGAAGAGTACAGGCAGCCTGAGCGGCTCACGCTCTCCAGCCACGCTGGCCAGGTGCTCTGGGAGCTTAAGGGCCCCCCAAACTCTGGAGCTCCTGCTTGGCTTTCCCTGCTCACCCAGACTCACCCCTGTGATTGTGGCAGATGGGTCTGGGCGAGCAGAGTGGCCTCCAGAGATGATACCATCGCCTCTTGTCCCACGCCATCAAGAGTGAAACAAAGAGCCACGTGTTTCACCTGGCGAAGAGGAACAGCTGTTCCCCGACACATCACGGTACAGCCAATCCGCTTCATTTGGCGACAGCTCTTTCTAGCTTCAGTCTCATTTTCAAAAGCAGCTCTTAAGACCCTAAATCCTATTGACTACTTTGGATCCCAAAAGCCTGTTTGAAAAATGAGACTCAGGCATTTAGACTACCAGCCATTTAAAAAAACAAAAAACATTCCTCATTTCACAGCAAGGCTGTTTGCGTAGGTGCTAAAATTGATCACGCAGGCTTGTGGGATGCCCGGCCCATCACAGCTTGGCACATCCTGGACCATCACTGTAACACGATCACACAGGCTTGAAATTTTCAGCCTACCCCATTCAGCAGGATCATCCCTGGTTCTCAAACGACTTCAGATGCTAGTTACCTTAGGCCGCATCTACCTGTATTGCTCTCCGCTGGACTCATCGCACCCCAAGCAAATCGCTACATGAATGTGGCTATGCTGCTCTGGTCACTGTTTGAAGCCCTGCAGTCGTTACAGGATTTGTGCTCTCAGCATGCCCAGGAAGTGCAGTGGGGACTATTAACTCCATTGTACCGATGGAGAAGGGAGGCATGGAGAAGCTAAAGCACAGATCCTGCCACAGGATTTTGATCCCAAATGTCTATTGTTAGATGCTTCAATATCTTGGAGGGTTTGGGCCTGAGTGACTTGTAAGGACATGCAGGAAACCTGTGGCTTGATCCCCGGTCTCTCAGGGCCGGACACAGGCATGGGCGAACCAGGCAGCTGCCTGGGGTGCAGACAGAAAGGGGACCCCAAAATGGTAATTTAAAAATGATAATGATCGTTATCTCTGGCAAAGGGAGGGGCCTGATACTAAAAGTTCATCCAGGGCTGCCAGGAGTCTAGGTACTGCTAATCGCTGCCCTGGTTTTGGGGCTTAAAGGAATGAAGTAGTGCAAAGGACAACATTTGCAAAAGCAACTGGCTTCCAATTTTGGGGGCGAAACCAAGGCACCTTCAAGGGCCCTCCTTTCCCGTGGAAGAGGGGAACTTCCCGAGATGTCTCATGAGCCTGCTTCTACCATCCCTCTCCCAAATAGTTTATTGATATCTCTCCCGAGCTTTATGGCAGTGACTCCGGGCTGGGGGCCTGCGATGCAAGCCGCGTGCAACCCCGTCCTGTTTTAGGAGGAGCTGGCACCCAGCCACGAGGATAAACTGCACAGCTTCCAACATGCTGGTTTCTAGTTCTGCTGCACATAAAGCCACGGTGACAATTACAGCGGCTTGTCAGTTTGCTACTCTTTATAAAACAGAAATGGCCGATGCCTCTGGGAAAAGCTTTGAAGAAAAACATCTCATCGAGAACCAATGCCGCTTCATTACTCTGTTGGCTCCCAGCCACCACCACAGGGCCTGGATGACACGAGCCCCTTTGGTTTATCCGTTTTGAGAGCAATTTTGAGAAGGTCTCTGGACTGGTTGGACCCTAAAGGCAGGCTTCTTTTTTTTTTTCTGAGGAACTTGCCTTCTGACTCAATTCTGGTTATGGGGTCTTAAAAACGGAGGCTCCCTTAAGTGGAAACAACAGAAGTGAAGAAAACCCTGGATGCATTAGTCAATCAGGTAGCTCTGAACCAGCACAGCTGTAAAAAACCCCAGCAAATGCAATCATAGACTATATCAGGCAAGCTACTTCCAGGAGCAGAAATGTCATTGCAGAAGGCACTGGTGACATCTCATCTGCAATATTGTACGTGCTTCTGGCCACCCACGCTCCAGAAAGAGGGATGCAAATGGGAACAGGTGCAGAAGAGAGCTGAGTTGGTCAAGGTAAGGGTTAAGAAGAGGTTAAAGGGACTTGTCTTGTTTAGCCTGGAGAAAAAGAAGCTAAGAGGGCATCCAACTGCTCTCTATATGGCAATCGGGGTGCACGCCTCGGAGGGAGAAGAGCGATTTAAGCTGAACCCCAGCGTGGGCCAAGAATCAACTGGCTGCATGTATAAAGCCAGCCTGTAAATTAGAAGAAAGTTTCTGCCTGTCGGAGACGCGAATCCTGGAAGAGTCTCCCGGCGGGAGCAGTGGAAGCCTGATCCGTTCGTGAAAGGGCTTGCGTCGCACAGGGGCCCGGGATAGCAGGCAGTCAGACTCAGTGACGCAGGACGGCCCTCCCAGCCCTCTGCTCCTTCAGGCTCTGAAAAGGAGTCAAGGGGCTTCACGGCCACAAATCAAATGGCTCTGATTTTCAGAGGGGTTGAGCACTTACAGCTCCCGCTGAAAGCCACAGGATCAGGAGGCACTAGGGTATAATTTTCACAAGTGCCTAAGTGAGTCAGGAGTCATTGAAAGATAATGACACTTGGACACCCGACTCACTCAGATGCTCGTGACATTTTTTACCCTTTCTCCTTGATGCCTTTGTATTGCAAAACGAGGGCACTTGCCTATCAGCTTCAATACAGACTTAGGCAGCTCAATTTGAAGATGCTGTCCAAGAGGTTTAGTCTTGGACATGGCCAGCTGTGTGCTGGGACATAGAAAATGACCTCTCCCACCTCGCTAAATTGCATGTGAGCAACATGCTCTGTCTCAAATGACTGAGCTGAATTCAATGAGTGATGCGTTTCACCCCAGAGGTGGCTGCATTTCAGTGGCAGGGTGAGCAATTCCTTCGTGTGCATGTCTGGCTATATTAAAGATCTGGCCAAACCGCACGGGGCAGATGGGATCGAAGCTCCCCATAAAGATAGGATGGTTCAGATCATTGTTTTGCTGTGGGCCCACATCCAGTGCACGGCAAGTGCTCACTTGCGGCGTGTGAAGCACCCTAGACATTGATGGGTTGAAAGATATTATATATAAATGCAAGATACTTTTATGTCAGTGTTATTTAGTAAATCTCAGCATCCTTAAAGCTTCACTCAAAGAGCCTTGTGGACACACTACCCCAGCAAGGAGCCTCTGCAAGGGTGATTTGTATTCGGGGAGAATACAAGGGCTATAACAATAAACAAATAGCACATGGCTCTCTTGAGCACTCTTTAAAAAGAAGTAAAGTGCCTGGCTTTAGCAAGAAGGAAATGCAGCACATGTCTCCAGTCCCCATCCTGCTCCCTGGGTTCCCACGTTAGTGCTGGTCCACTAGTAATTAGATGACTGTAGACAGATGTGGAAGAGGGGCAGCGGGGCTGCTGCTTATATGGTTGCACACAGAGTGGCTAATCATGCCCTAAATACTAGCAAACAGCATCCTAATGAGCCCTTTGGATGGTGTTCTCCAAGCCAGCCTGGCTGTTCATATTCTGGAGAGACCCTTGCTCGTTGTCCTCCTTTTACTACAGCATACGAGTGTATTGGAATCGGTAACTAACTTCCAGCACCTGTCGCGATGCAGAATTACCTTTATATAGGTGGGGTGAATAGGCTCAGGATCGCATAGTGGGACAACGACAGACCCAGGTATCCTGACTGCGAGACTAGTCCTCTCTCCACTGGACAACGCTCTTTATGCTGCGTCTTTGGGTTTTTGGCTGGCAAAGGAGAATTTTGTCCTGGCTTCCAGTGGTGCCAGGAATCTCACCCCAGGAAATCTCCTGTATCCCAAGCAAGCAGACCTTGTGGGATGCATATTTCTTTGAGTTCATTACAGATATTTATCTTCTTGCCCTCCCCTTGAATGAAAGCCCTAATCCTCGACTGGTCTCGCTGCTGGAGGGATGCCATGGCTAGGATGCAAGTAGGAAATCACTCGAGCTTATCTCTGTCCCAGCTGCGGGAAGGAGGCGGCATCAGTGTCTATATCTCAAACAACCGAATTGGTGAGGACTACCAAGCCAGCTCCCCACCTGGTGTAATTTAGGGTGAGGTTACATCTTGCACTTAGCCCATACTAAATTTGTGGAGCGTTAAGCAGTGTTGAAGTTGGACATGCCTTGAGCAGTCGGGCGTTAGGGTTCAATACTTTCTTGCCTGCACAGCTGTGTCTTGCCATTAGGGGGACTGGTGAGTAGGGGCATGGCTAAGAGACAGGGCATCTGGGCTCTCTCCCTGCTCAGGGTGTGTGTGTTTGGTGTGGGGGATGAGGACACAGAGACTGGTGCATCCTGGGATGCTGGAGGACTACAGATTACTCACTTGATCTCCATGGAGCAGACTGAAGTTACCCTAATACAAGCTAGGTAGCACAGCCCGCAGCTAACCCTTGCCTGGTATGTCATATCTCGGAGACCCTCAGAGGGCACAGTAAAGAGCTTTAATGTGTGCACGGTCACATTTTACGTGCTATTAGTGTGGTCTAAGTGTCACATGGAACTTCACTCGTAAGTGCAGCTCCAAGGACATCGATAGGACTAAGCCAGTTGACATCAGCTGCAGGCTTGGCCCGTCCTACTTGAAGCACACACACAAGAATGGTAAAATGCCTGGCATTACAAAGCTGTCACCAGTGCCAAAACTCAAGTGATCTGGAATGATAAAATAATAATAAAGCTTACCAAATCTCTGAAGGCCAAACTGCCCAAACCCTTCGCCGCGTACAAAGCCCTGGTACACAAAGGTGCCGCTTGAAGACTCCGATGAGACCTGGGATTGTGAAAAGGAAATCATATTTATAAGGGAGTCTGGATCTCCCTCACTTCGTTGTATCCTGATGATACAATGCATGTGTGTGGAGGGGAGGGGAAGAAAGGGGCATATTGAGAAAACAGTAAGCAGCAGAGACTTGGGCACAATTACTCACAAAGATCAGCTTAGCAAAATATTCGTGACAGAGACTAATGAGATGCTGGGTTAAAATTAGCAACGTGCCTGTGCACAAACGATGCTCTCCCTTACTCAGCACATACCCTTTCTGCAAGCAACGTTAAACTCTGTGCAGTACCAGGACCATACACCGCTGAAGTCCACTTTAAGCCTGATTTTGAGGGCTTAAGCAACGCACAGATCTCTTGTGAACTTTAACCGTAGCCACTTGCACTGTTGGCCTCCTGGCTACAACCAATGCTTTGTTCCTTCTGGTCCTGCAGAGCCAACAAAAGCCGGAGTCCGAGCTGCTTTGGGCTTCAAATAGCATCGATACAATTACCAGGCAAAGCTCCAAGCTGCAGAACATTTATTAAGGGCCAGGAGAAGAGATACAGAAAGGGAACCAGCTTGCCTCTCCGATTCCTGAGTCAGTTGTGATCGGGGCTCGAAAGAAAATCCTGAAGTTTTAAGATAAGCCAGTGAGAAACCTGAAGCCCCGCGCTGGCTATCTCTGTAGTTGTATTTCCAGCTTTAATTGTATAGACTGGTACCGTTTAGGGGGACTCAGCCCCATAGTGAGCTCTGTGCCGAGTTCTCCGGCCCAGTAAAGTTTGCGTTTGTGACGTGATTCTGTCTGAACGTGTAGAGTGGCATTAAACAGCCCACCCTTGAGCCTGCTGGAGGAGAAAGCTGTGCCGTAAAACAAGACCAACAAACTCGTGTTTATATGCCGTTCACTGCAGCAGATGAGGTTTAGCGCTTGGCTCCCGACAACGACTTGAGGAGCGAGGCAGCGGGATTTTACTCCAGACCCTCCATTAGCCATCTGTTTATGAGCAGAAGTTGCTTCATATCTGCAATCTCTTTGAAGTTTATGCATAGCATTAATTCAGTTTAAATTGCATGAGAAGATGGGTGCATTTTGAAGAAGGCGCAGCCACCCAACAGCTTGTTAAAAACTCGGCTCCTGCGGGGAGGTGGGGGATATTGTTTGTAACAACTAGGGTTTCCATTGCTGACCCAGCAGTGTTAAAAAAACAGCTAGTGCACTAACTGGTCAGTCAACAGGCGGCTTCTTGTAGACCCACTTTTGTAAGCCTCTGAAAGGAGTATGGACCTCCCGGAGACACGGGGAAGTCAAGTTCAAAAGGAAAGCTTAGCTCTTTTTGGCTGGATGTTGGCGGGACATACAACACTGCACAGGATATAATATTGAATTCATGGAGAGGATTATCTAGAGGATTTAGCCATTTGAAAGCAGAGAATAATGAGAAACCTATATGACCTCAAGGGGATAGCAGAAAGGCCATTGGGGCAACACTAGTCTACTGCAGTGGCAAAGCACGTTGCATCCCCTTTTAGCTGCTGGGTTCCCAGAAGACAAGAGTGTGCTCCAAGTGAAATGAGTTACTCCAGCTCAAGTGGCAGAGATGTGTGTTACTAAAAGCTGAACCTTGCTGATAATACCTGGGAGAGGACAAGCAGGTGTTACTTAACCCACAGTTCAGCGCCAGAGTTATGTGCTCCACGTACGTATGCCTGAACTGGTGCTGAAATACTTACGTGCCCGTCTAAAGCCCATTTATCATTCTTGAACTTGTTAACAAAGTTTTCCACCGGGCCTGTTATCTGATAAACCTGAAGCAGGAGGTGGACATCTTCTCTCTTGTAGATACCTGCAAGACAGCATGGGGTGTGAGAGTAACCAGAGATCTGTGGTCTAGCAACCCTGCCTCACGCCCCATTTAAACCCAAACAGTGCAACAAATAGTCCGAGATCCCAACATTTCTGGAGGTTTGCAGTCGCTTTAGCAAGCTCTCTACCTGAACTCAGAGATGCTTAAGCAATAACATTGTCTTCCCAATGTAAGAAACAACTCCTGCACCATATAAGCATGTCACTGTGAAGTGATAAAACCCGAACAAAAACCACCCCACGGACCCCAGCAGGATAATAGACCATCTGGAGAACGGGGGAAAAAAAATCTGAGCCGTCAGCGCTTAAGCTTTATAACCAGTTCATTAGGAGAAAAGCACCAAACAGGGGATAGCGAACAAAGAGGTGTTTACACCATTTTACTTCATTAGCGTTAACTAATTGTGGATCTGTCACTGCAGTAGAAAGGGAATGGAGCTTAATGGGACTGTCTGAGTTCAAGGCCTGGCTTGCAGCTGGAATCCTGCCTCTGCCCTGGGCAAGCAAGGTCAAGTCCAACACTTGGGTCCCTACGAACCTCTCCGAGAAGGGGGGTTTCGGAGCGCTGTGGTTTTGCTGAAGAGCCAGCAGGCGATCAATACGCATTCACAAAACCAAACAATAATTCTCCTCTGCTCATCGACTCAAGCAGCCACTTTTTGTCAGCAAGCGACTGCACCTGCCAGGGTGAGCACAGATCAGTAGTCGGCACTGCCATTCTTGGCCTGCTTACCTGACACCTGTAGTTTCACACCACTGTGATCTATCAAGGTGGCATTGACTTTACTGGTGGCAGGATCGAAGCTGGTGACAGAGAGCATCGCCGACTGCTTCTTCCCCATGTATTCATAAGAGCCTTTCCACAGGGAATTCTTCGCAAACACATCAGCAGGAACTGGGGACAGCAAGGCAGGGAGGAAGGAGGGTTATTTGAGAAGAGTTGAATGAATTCAGGGCTAGTGCTCTGTTATCACTGGTAATGATTTCATACTGTGAAAGTCTCTGGGGAAGAAAAGAAGGCAAACAACAGACAGATTCGAAGGAATGAATTTATCTAAGGATGCAGTGGCTGGTTTTCAGGCTCAGCCAAAACACATTTAAAAATGATCTTTAGAAAAAAAATCAAACTGTTTGGGGGGGGGGGGGGGGGGGGGTTGTGCAAAGTTTGCAAAGTTGAGTCCAGCAAAATGGCATGAGAAATTCTAAGTGCAGCAAGTTAGAAACCAACGGAAAACCTTCTTAGCAGTAAAAAAAAAAAAAAAAAAAAGTTCCACGTGGTTTTTTATTTTCAAAATACAAATGTTTATCATTAAAAAAACCCAAACCAGCTCTCGTTTGAAGGAATGCATGGGGCTGGTATTTTCATAGACGCTTAAGGGAGATTCAGCAGAGCTTGGGGCTCTCGTCTCCCTTAGGTGTTTATGAGAATAGCAACCCAAGTGTACAGCCACCTCCAAACCCCGCAGAGTGTGTCTGTGGTTGTTACCACCATAGAAGAAAGGCAGGGAGCAGCCTCAGTGGCTTCTTACATCTCTGATAGAATTTGGAGCAGAGCCATTGTAAGAGGGTCTGTGGTATCACTTATTACCACTTTGCAATTCCACATTCCTCTTGTTCAGATTACATCTCAACGCCTCCCCTGGAATGAGCGGCCGCACTACAGTACCTGACACTTTTGCAAGGGGTGGATCTCGAGCAGTGCCAACTGGTCTTCCACTAGGTCGAATATCAGCTAGAAAGAAGAAGCAAACCCGCGGCAGATTAATAGGATGGGATGCTGAAATACGGTTAAGTCATTTTCCTTGGGGCAGCTCGTGATAGATGAGTGGGAACTGCTTCCTACTTGCTTCCCAAAGCTCAGATATTTGTTACGGTGAAGAAAAGAGCAGCCAGATATAGAGATACATGTCTCAGACTAGCATTTCTCACCCCTGCAGGCACGGCTGCACACCCCTAGTTAGCAGCACCTCAAAAAAGACGGTGAGCAGGCCCCCGGGAGCTGGGGGCCTGTTCAGCATCCTCGATTTGCATTTCTGTGAGAGGCCTGATTCTAGCGGGAATTTCATCAAAGGCTGATGCAAGTAATGCACATAATCTCCACTAACTGCTAGTCTGGTGTCTGCAAGCTGCATTTAGCTGGCATGGCAGGTTTTGGCGCTCTTTCTCAAGTTCATCTGGAGTTGGATCAGGCCCTACATTATTCATATAAGACTAAGCAAAATGCTGACCAGCACAGCAGCACCACCTAACACACATGAGGAGACAGCTAATTCCTCTTGGATCATCTCTTTGTGAGATGGGTACCAAGACTAAACCTGAGCCAACACCTCTATTCCCACCCCCCATAGCAACCTGGGGCTCTTACCAAGGCAAATGGGTGGTTTTCCTGTCCAGCTGCCATCTGCTTTGCAAGTCCGATGTTCAGATCCTCCAGTGAGATAGAACCCACTCTGACAAGAGTAGATCAAGGTGTAGCCCAGGGAGGGCAAATCCAGAGCACCTACGTTAGCATGGGACGGGGTCTCGGGCTGCTTACAGTGGTGAGCTGAAAGATGAGCAATGGTCTAGGTTAGAAGCCCTGCCTGGATCTACGTGGAAGGGGCGAATGCCATGGACTTCAGCGAGGTCAAGGTGGTCCCCAGTGAAGTTCCTTCCTGCTCAACACTTTCTGTTGCCTCTCGCTGCGTTTGACATGCTTGCATGCTACGGGAATCTGACAGGCCAAACCCACTTGCCTCCGTAGTTAGATGGCCACTACTTTTTGTAGTATTAAAACTGTTTGGGCATCCCCAGATCCAGCCACAAGCAAAGCTTGTGTTCACCCGGCCATGGTGACGTCAATAAATAATGGGATTCCACTTGAAATACTTGAAAGTGCACATAGGGCCAGAAAAGTCACTTGGGCTACCATGTAAACTTCCCAGTCAAACCCAATCCATTTGTACCTCGGTCAATAGTTTCTTATCAATGGTGCCTCAAACTCTTTCAGCTCCCTGACACTTAAGAACTTTTCCCCCAGGTTTCTGTCCTTGCCAGGGGCAAAGGTCTTTGCCAGGGGCAAAGATTCATTGTTCATTGGAACAATGAAAAGTCACTGGAGGACCGGGGACGGCTGAGACAAACCAGCTTATGCTCCAAAGCAGCCATACAGGGAGCAAACGACACCGAGCAAGGAGGAACCATGTCCATGCAGTCCCTTTTCCTGAGCATGACTGCTCTTGAAAGCAAGAACATCTTGTCATCTCCTCTATGCCTTCTTTGGCCTTGTCCCCAACATCAAGTCACCATGTAAACATGCAGATAGATGACTTGCCTGAAGGCAAATCCTGCTGCCTTTGCAGAAGAACATTAAATCATGATAAGGCTGTAGCTATACCGGTAGTGCTAGACAGCTACTGAGTGATAGAGTCTCTCCTTATTTTGCCTCCTTCAGATGGGCTGCCTGAATAAACCCACACACCAACCTGTCTGCAGAATCACAGGGGCAAATCCTCAGAGGGGCTGAGTGCTTGTGATTCCTACCGTTGCTCACTACCCTTTTAGTCTGTGTTCCTGTTTGGCTCCATCCCGGCCTGTTCAATATGCCACCGCTTTCCTTGAGGGGTGACTACACAACTCGTAAAGCCAAGAAGCTTCCCCTGATCCTTGCTCTGAATTCTCCTCTGTGGACCTCACAGCCTTTTTCCAAACCTCACTGAATTTTCAATCCTCTCCCTGATATGTCATCATCATCGTCGTCGTCATCATCATCATACCATTTAAAGATAGTAAAACTAAGTTACAGACAGTCTCAATGACCTACCCAAGGTAACACAGAGCACAAATGGCAAAGGCTCTAATCACTGTGTTTTAGTCTTCAGTGTGTGACCAGTAACTGCACCTAATATTACCCCTGCAAACTGCACTGAACTAGGAAGCTTTATGAAAAACCAAGAGATGACAACTTAGCATTTCTCACTGTCACAGGTCAGCTGCAGGCACATCTTTGTTTCAATTCTTGTGAGCACCAGCCTACTACCACTTACAGCTGTATTTGCTGCTTTATACCTACAATCTTCCTATCCAAGAGTCAGGGAATCTAATTACAAAAGTAAGTTACAGAGAATCACCGGTCCCTTCCAGCGCAGTGGAGCAGTATATGTGCAGCTTTGATTCTGCATGTCAAGGATTTTAAATGACTCGCAACCAATTCAGCTATCTTAGACAAGTCCATCTTGGACTGGGGAGAGCAAATGGGAAAATTATTCACTGAAGAAGGCAAAGAACAGATTCAAATACAACCTAGCAGAAAGGGAGAGAACAGGACCCTGGGGCTGAGATTTAACTCATGCTGGGGCATGACGAACTTCCCGGTCCTTTAGGAGCTTAACAGGGTGGTGAGCTGCAGTATGTAGATACTTTCTTTGAGCTGGGGTGGGAGCTGAGGAATCTCACACCTTTCAAAGCAGGGGAAAAATCATCTACTCTACAGGTCTTTTGGCTGAACTGGTTCATGAAAACTGAGATTTTTTTTTGTGGTCATGACTAGAATATCATTGGGTTGTGCAAAGTGTGCCACAAACAAAGCCCCACCACAATGCAAGGTCAAGAGCTTTCTCTAAAGGGGTGGAATAAAAAATCAAGCTGGCTGCCAATGAGATCTAGTGTGTCCACATCAACAAAGAAGTGGCAGTGTGGTCCCCTTTGGCTCCGTGATATTTTGAGACTCCCTCTTTCCAAATCTCTCACTGGAGCAGCCAGGGATTCACTTTGTAAAGCAAAGGAGCAAGGCGAGAGACAAGGCTCCCCCTCCAACACTTACGGACACAGTCAGGCTGCGCTCCGCTCCACGTCAGGTTGGGGAGACACGTTCTGGTGGTGGATCCTTGGAGCAGGTAACCCTTCTGGCACTTGAAGAATATAATGCTTCCCACCTATCGCAGGGGAAGACAGTGTAATGTGAAAATTAATTTTTTTTTAAAAGTGATATGCTGCCAATCCCAGGGCATTTGAAACCTTTGGGATACCTTCATTTTTGCTTAACTGTTCATACAGCTGTGTCAGTTGCAATGGGGAGCGTGGTTTGTATGTCATGTATCTGCCCCCAAACTGGCAAGATAAGTTTTAATGGGGAGCGTGGTTTGTATGTCATGTATTTGCCCCCAAACTGGCATCCCTGCAAGATGAGTTCTACAGGCGGCTGAAATGTTTCAAAACTGGAATCACTTTTCTCACCAAAACAATGCATTTTGCCTCCAAAATAATCCAGGGATAGAATTGCATTAGCATTCATGTCCAGTTCTTTACCTGCTTTTGCATTAGCTGTTCGAGGTGCTCCCACAGGCCCCAACAAGATCAGGGCCCTGTTTTGGCAGGAGCCATACCAATGCCCAAGAAATCATTATTCTCCTCTCAAGGAACAATGATTACGTCCAAGCTTCTCATACATATTTAGGTGGACATTCAAAATAAAGAATACTGCTAACCATGGGAAACATCTGTTATTTATAATATAAAGGTCATCATGGGCTTGGGAATCTGAAAAGTGTACTAGGAATGTAACTGGGCTGGTCAGATTCACTTTCTGTTTCTCAGAGACTATCAGCATGATGCTACTTTATTTAGGTCTCCATCATGGTAAAAAATGTTCCCATTTAAAAAAGCAAATGTGGCACACACACACACAAGCATTCTTGACTCCAAATTTCAATTATACCATTTAAAACCTGCTCTTTTTTAATCTGGTTTCTGCTATTTAAGCACAGCAATGTAAAAACTCCTACAATCAGTGCCCTCGGAAACATTTTTTCAGTCTATTTTTCTACAGGCGGCCTTCCATTTTTTTATTTTTATGCGGCAGTTCGAGACGTGCATCGCAAATTATTAACGCATTATCCAAATATCAGTCTAGAAATCGTGACCCAGCTCAAATCAATGGGCGTCTTCTCCCTGACTTCACCAGGGCTAGGATTTCACCCAGCATCACAGGAAATAGAGTGACATCAGATTTACAGCTGATCTCCTCCATCACATCCAGTTTTACATCCATCAAAGTGCACGCTTATGGCATTTGCATATGTTAGCATAGCGCTTGCAAATCTTTTTGCAGGCTCAGCCTTCAAAGCCCACCAGAGACCTGGTGCACTTTGTCATCCTGTCTGCTTACCCCAAGGGTGTGGAGCGATGCAAGACAGCATTACCTGATAACCTTGGGAGCTGTTCTGCATCCCAAAGAGAGGCACACCAGGATCCACACATGTGGTGAGAGTAGGATCTTAAAAGGAAAAAGAGAAACACACAGCATTATAAAGGGCCTAGATAGGGAGGATGGTCATGAGAGCACATCAGAGCTTTGCCTCTATGCCCACTTTTGGCCCAATAGCCCAATCATACAGTTTAAAAGAATAGTTCACACCTTCCTTTCCCATGGGCGATATAGTCGCTATCTAAATAATCTGTACTAACAAGAAGACGTGTGGCTATTTCAGTCTCTCGTGCCTTGGCTGTTCCAACACAAGGCAACCGGGGCACATTACGGCATGGACAAAAAATACGACACAATCCGCCTGGCATTTCTGCACGTGATTATCTGATTAGACAAAACTCCTGCAGGGGTTGGTACTCTGGCATCTCAGGCTGGGCAGCATCATTTTTCAGTAGACATCAGCAAAAACATAGCAGGGGCTCATGACTCACTAGACATGGGGTGCTCAATCTCCCCCGCTTCCCCACAGGCTCATGGGATCTGGCCTGTTAGGCTCCCTGGAGGGATGGAAATTTAGTGGCAGGAGAGTGGTGACAATTAGCAGTGTCACTGCTCCCCTGCCGCTGAACTTCCAAGTCCTGGCCCTGGGAACAAGATCCCACTGGCGCACGTGGGGCTGGAACAGCGGCAGCAGCAGCAGCAGCAGGCCCAATCTGGGATGCGTGAGGTCAGGATTGGGGCCAGGGCTGGATGCCGGGTTCCATTTGGGGCCAAGAGTTTGCACATACCAGATCAGGCCCACAGACCAGACTGGGCCTGTGGACCAGCCCCACACCATTTACCCAGCCTGCAGGACCAGAAGGTTGGGCACTGCTGCACTAGACCAGTAGTGCTCAACCTTTTGGGTCCATGGGCTGGATGAGTGGCTCAGGGCCAGTTTCTAGGTCAGAGCAGACCCCTTGACCCAGGATAAGGCCCTGTGCTACCTCCCTTGACCCTATGCCACCAGATCAGGGCCCCATGCCACCTTCTTCAGCCTGTTCTGCCTCCCTGGGGCCCTGCATCACTGGATCAGGCCCTGCACTGCCTTTAGCGAGCCCCGAGCCAGTGTGTTATTTGACCCAGAGGCTCCCCACAGGTCCAGAAATCTGGCAGCAGGGGAGCAGCAATTGGTGCCAGTGCTCTTCCACTGCCAAACTTTCAGCCCCGTGGGGACTTCAGGCCACAGGGCATGGCTCTGTGAGCTGGATCTGGCCCATAGGTCACGCACCCCTGCACTAGACCATAAATAAGGAAGAAGCTGGAGCAGGAGCAGGTGGAAACATTTAGAAACATTCCCACAAAAATCAACCACCCAGAAATGATTTTTTTTGGATAAAGATTCACACGAAAAATAAAGTGCCTATCTTTTGATCGGCTCCACCTAGCATCCTCTGGCACTAACCACACGGGCAAACAAAACCCACAGCCTGCAAGGGCTCCTCCAGCTGCCCACCTCTGTGGGCAAGGACAGATTAAATGCTCTCGTAAAGGAAGGATGGGAACTGATCATGGTACCGCTGAATTCACAAAACAATCCCACAGTAAGTAAGGCGAGACAGTAATACCTGACCCCACTTATTATGGGATAAATCATAATAGTTTAGTTTTACTCACAGTAATACCTGACCCCATTGATTACGGGATATATCATTATAGTTTAGCTTCACTTACTGCAGGACTGAGACACATAGACTAAACAGTTATACCAGAGCAGCCGAAATCATCTCGAGTGGTAGGTCTTCCCTCTTTAAAACAGTGCAAATGCGTGTCTGTCTGTCCATGCCCTTAAGAGACTGCTCCACTGTATGGCTGAGAAAGGAGTGGGTGGGAAATACGTGCATTTTGAGATGGTTTGGTAAGGCCTCCCCTCCATCGTAGCTCTTCAGGTATCACAAAAAACTTTTGCTTCCTGGGGAGTGATGCTAAGAGTGAACCACGTTGCTTGTTGGCTCTGCTACCTTCTCTTAGGTTGCTCTACTGTCCTCCACTATCTGGGTTGAGTGCATCTCAACCCCCTAATGCTGTAGGCAGGGGTCCCGCTGGGGAAAGAGTAAAGTGGATGGATCCTAGGTGCCATGCACAATAGCTGGATTCTGCTCTAAGCATCAGCAAAGGACCTGATCCCAATCCAGTCCCACATGCAGGGGGTTTTGTGGCACTGGGTCACTTGGATGCCACACTGCTGTCCCATGCCACCTTTGGGTTTAGCTTGCGAGAGGTTCTTTTACAT